AGGTTCTGGCGAAGAAGATCTTAGTATTAACTACGTCCAAGATGCTAAGTTAGGGTTTGTTGTAAACGCTATCTACACCATGGCCCATGCACTCCACAACATTCACCAGCTCGTCTGTAATGGCCGCCCTGGGGTCTGTCCCGGATTCCTCCCTGTTAACGGATCCATTTTCCTCAGCCATCTTATTAATGTGTCTTTCACAAACTACGCCAATGAATCTCTTTACTTTGACCAGAATGGGGATCCACCAGGAAGGTGAGCGCTTTGGTTCGTAATTGTTAAGGTGTCGGGTGTAGTGTATATTTCCTATTGATTTGGTTTCGTTTTTCGCTACTTTTAGCATATTAAATTGATTACTTATCCTTATGATGATGATTCTAATCAAAATAATAGTAATTGTGTTTTTATTCTGAACAATTAGGCCAGGAAACACTCAGAGGCGCTGAGGCGCAATCAAATATTCGATCTATGTAGGAAATACCGTAGTTGGAACATGACTGTATTGAATATGGAGCAGCCATTTGCATTGCAAGTTACTGAGTGCTGCTGACAGTGTTTCTTATGCTAAGTGTAAGGTTTCTGTCATAATCGGTAACCTTATGCGGTTATATTAGACCCCCCCCCCAAAAAAAAAAAAAAAAAAAAAAGTTGGGGTGCCGAAACCTTGAACTGCCTTCTCTAAAGCAAGGTATTGGTATATTTGTTACAGGTATGAAATTATGAACTACCAATATTTCCAAACTCCAAACAGCACCGAATTTAACGCATCCTATGTACAAATTGGGGAGTGGCTTGACGGAATTCTTGTACTGAATGAAAGTATCATCCAGTGGCCGCAAAATGATAACACAAGCAGCCACGTTGAGTCAGCGTGTAGCCGACCGTGTCCAAAGGGGAAAGTGAAAGTAAGTAATCATGATGAGAAAGGATAGCTACAGGTGTCTTATGATTTGGAGTTGTTATAGGCCTACATTTACTGGTACACTATACTGCCCATCGGTTTCGGTGTGTCACTGTTTAAGGGATTTATAATTGCTACTCATAGACGAGCAAATATCATACGTGCGTGCTAAGGCAGCAAAAGGACTCGAATTTTGTTTTGTTCACCATAGTTGTGCCAAATCTGCGTTTGGGATTTGAAATGTCTCAAAAACTGAGTTATATTATGTATTATTTATACATGTATTATATTACAAAAGTTATATTTTTTTCAGCAATTTCTGGACGCGAGTGAGCGTTGCTGTTGGGCCTGTATACCGTGCAAGGAAAATCAGATTCTTCTTAGCGAGTCTCAGTGTGAGAACTGCGCAAAAGGCTGGTGGCCAAATGACGACTTAACGGGTGAGGATAGCTTTTTTCCTCTCCAGTTTATGGAGGCCACACTCTGACTTTTAGAGTTGAAAGTAACCCTTTTTTCCCCTCAGTAGGCCTCTGTCAGTGATGGAAGCATTAACTCTGAAATTGAGGTTCAGGATAATTTTTTGTCTAGTGATAAAATTATTTTTTTATTATTTTTTTTTACATTTTAGAATTGTTTTGAAAGCATGGTAAGATACAACATCAAATTACAGTTATAATTTACGTGATCACTCGGTTATTGAGAATAAACATGTCGACATAATGTACACATAAGCTTTAAAGTTTACAGTTCTTTGATTGTTAAATTTTCATTCTTTTGTAGTGTGTCTGCCGATCAAAATAGAGTTCATGCAGTGGCAAAACACAGAGGCGGTGGTGGCCTGTGTTTTTGCAAGTGTTGGTACAGGATTAGCACTATTTACTTTGGTCATCTTTTTCAAATACAACAACACGCCTGTCGTAAAGGCCTCAACACGGGAACTTAGTTACATCATTCTCATTGGCATTGTACTAGCTTATTTTACAACATTTGCCTTGCTTGCCAAACCGTCCGAGACTTCGTGCTACATTACAAGAATCCTACCTGGCTTAGCTTTTTCAATGATCTATGGGGCCTTGGTGACAAGAACCAATCGTATTGCAAGGATTCTTGCTAGGAGTAAGAAAAAGATAATGACCAAAAAGCCCCGGTTTATGGGAACAACGGCACAAATATTTATTTCAATTATCATTATTATACTCGAGTGTGGAAGCATTATTGCCACTCTAATATATCAACCGGCCAACTCCACGCTTGACTATCCAACACCAACGAGAGTGAAACTCGTCTGTAATACAACGGTGCTGGGCATCATGGTACCCATGGGGTTTGACTTCTTTCTCATTGCAGCATGCACATTTTACGCCATAAAAACGAGAAACGTCCCAGAAAACTTCAACGAAGCTAAATTTATCGGTTTCACAATGTACACCACGTGTGTTATATGGGTGGCATTTGTTCCCATCTACTTCGGCAGCGAATCCAAGGTTATAACCATGTGCATGTGCGTTAGCCTCAGTGCGACAGTTGCGCTGGTGATTCTGTTTTTTCCAAAGCTGTACATTATATTGCTCAAACCACATCGGAACAGCAGAAGCGCGTTCACCACCACCAAAGATGTCAGGTGCCACATAGGATCCAGTCAGCATACCAAAAATTCATTTGATGAAAAGTAAGTTATTGTCATGAATGATTCTCTTACGCTTTAAAGAACTGTTTGTTTTGTTTCAGGCTCCAGTTCCCTGACTAACAAGAGTATTGATCCAAACACACGCTCTTTTATCGTACTGGCATTACTGTGCTAATTTTACCATCAAATTTGCAGTCAAGTGCGATTTTAACACACTCCTTTTCATACATTGTCGAATGTATGTGTTAATGTAACTGATTTCATACTAACGAATTATCATGTTTTTTCGTTTATTTGTTTGCCTAACATAACATTTTGCAAACGTGTATCTTACTAATCATTAATTTTTTAACCTAGTGGCTTAATTATCTGGATGCGTTTCTTATTACATGTTGTTCGATTCACATTTGCTCTAACAACATATCTGTAACAAGTGCTTTTTTCTGTTTTTATAACAACTAATACCTTTACACGTTCACTAAAAACTGGCGCATGTTTTTCATTGCAATACCAACCAGATTCACCGGATTGTTCTTACGACAGCTGTACAGCCAGCTTGTAATTTTTCATCTGCGTCAATTTTAGCTAGTGACTGAAGTTCGCACAATTCCTTCATCAATAACAAAATACTTGTTGAATGGAGAATATGAAATCCTGTAACATGCACCTGGCATTTTTATGCTTTATACTGCAAATGATCCCCTTTCAGCTTAAATTTCGGGTTAAATTGATGAAATTGATGACCCATCAAAATATCAAAATGTTTGGTATTGAATAACATATGCCTTTTACATGTTTTTTTCTTTTCACTGATTTGCTTCGCTCAGGGTTTCAACCAATTTCTTGAGGAGATATCGCTTTTCACTGGATTCTCATGATACCGGCTCTCCGGGCACTGGGAACAGCCTTGACGAGCTCAATAGGTACCAAGCACATTAAACAAAAAGCAATACGAAGTGCATTATCCATCTCCATGGGAATAGTTGTATTTTTGCCGTTGAAGTTATCCCCTAATGCACTATTGTAATGTAGCAGATATCCCAGTCAACACTGTATTGATATATTGCACCCATGTCGCATGCATGAACTGTAGATGTGATCATACCGCCATTGTCTTAGGTGCGAAAGCAAGTGTGTTTTGTGTGGTAGTTGTGACAACGATATTTGCGTGGCCCTAACACATTAAAACATTATTTCATTTAAATAAGAGATCAGATGTTCTTTCATATTGTGAATATTTGTTTGACATGGTCAAAATAGGCCTACCCTTTGGCACAAGTTGACGTCGTTTATCCATTGATCTTTAGCTTCATAGCCGCTTTTGGTTCGAATTGTGTTCGCATTGTTACAAACATGCATTTTCTTTTTTTGTTTTTTATTTCTAGCTGTGCACTTCTTCGGTGCAATTTAGTTGTTATATCTTATCACCAGCATGGGTTTATAGCACTGAACTTGTGCCATATATTAAACGAATGTGTGATCAATCATCTGTAAAACCTTGCATTTTGATCACATCAGTAGTGATGTAACTTAAGATAGCACTGGCCGCGTTCTCACGCTGTGCTAGTACATGAAGAGTTAATAAGTGCCGCGTGTTGAAAACAATGTTTAGTCTTTAAGTCACCACTGCAAGCGGTCGCAATTGCTGTAGATTTGTGGAGATACATTTACCGCCCTAGGATGTTACCCTGTTTTTGTGGCTAGTTTTTATGTCTAACCCAGAGCATTTGTGTGTGGCAGTGAATGTATTAACAGATTTATCAATATTTATGGGTCTGTTCTTATAACTGACAGGGAAAAATTATGGTTATAGAGGCCTGTTCAGAAAATAATCTTACATCGTTGTTAAGTGGAAAATAAACTTTCGAGAAAAGCGTTAAGTATAACAATTTATAAGGGTGGTAAAATGCTACACACACACACACACACACACACACACACACACACACACTGTTAAGTGGAAAATAAACTTTCGAGAAAAGCGTTAAGTATAACAATTTATGAGGGTGGTAAAATGCTACACACACACACACACACACACACACACACACATACACACACACACACATATATATTTATTGGGTCGTTTAATCATAATAGGAAATATTTCCCTGTTATTATACTCCTGTGTCAATGATTTTAAAACTTATTTTTATCGTTTTTCTTGTTATTTCCAGACGTTCTGTCATCGCTCAACTCGCCTACACCATCGCCCGCAAGCCTGGTGCACAATCCTCGGATCAAGAGGGAAAACGTGGGGTACCAGAGGCGCCAGATCCCAGCCGTTCTTTTCGTCTTTGGCGTCAAGACTCCATTCACGTTCTTGACAAAGATTTTTTTGCTAAGGACAATAAGGAGAAATCTGATGAGCAAGTAACAGCGGAGAATACATATTTAAACAGTCGGTCAAAACCCGCAGAAACCAAGGGGAAAAGCGAATCGTGGAAGCGGAGATTGGTAGAGAAAGAGGTGGATGAGTTCCTGACCTCGTGCGAGTCCGAAGCATCGAATGGATCCCTGGTGCCTGTAAGGCAGGAAACGAGCTGCCAGACGAGCGATGATTTAATAGAAAGCTGGTTACCGGCTTTACGTCTACGTTTTCGTTCGTCTCAAAGATCTCAGGGAGAAAGTCCAGTTACGAAGCAATGGGATTCATTTAGAAAAATCTCAGCAAAGCACCGTACGCAAAATGAATCTGAGAATACCGAAGAAGGAGAGAGTGAAACCGCGCCTCTCTTAAATAACTCTGTTGTAGGAGATTCCAAGTCAGAATACCTGCTCAAAGATAAGGAAGGTAAAAATTCCAAAGCTTACACGCCATTTATACAACGCCAGGATGGTTTTGATATAAAACACAATTATCCCATAAATGAACACGAATTGTCTAATTTTTCTTCGTCCGAAAATTATCCTCTGCTAGGTCTCAATGACAATAGTCGCACAAAACCTACTGACGATTCTAGCGGCAGTAAAGTAAATCCTCCAAAAAAAGGGGAAAGAGAACCCAGTACGGTACCTAGACCAGACCAACTTCATTCCCTAACTCACAACCCTTCTTATCTACCTAAAACGCCTAATAAAACTGTAACTGAAAGCGAAAACTGCCCTCTGCTAAGGAGCCCTGCGGAAGCAGTGCCTCAACGCTCTGTCGCCGAAAAAGCACCGGAGAAAACTACAAACGGCGGAACACCGCGAAATCAACCAGTAACGCCTTTAACGCCGTTAAGTCCTCTGAGCACAACCAGTGAACACTCTACGAGGGGTAGTTCACCTCGCTCTCTCGAGGAAATGTCAGTCCACGGACTTAAATTATTAGACGAAGAAGAGGACAGCGTTGAAAAATTCCGTGAATATCTGCTGACTAAGGGGATGGACATGGATATGAGCGAAGTGCAATCTAGTGATGTTTGATATATATGCTTTTTATTGTAATAGATGTTTTTGCATGTTGAAATACGAATAAACATTTGTTTTCTGAAGGGGTCCAATAAATTGTCTGAGTACAGTGAAATAAACTAGGTATTTGTATGATAATTTTTTGTTTTCCCTTGCTTGCTTGCAACAGTGGGGTTCTTTTTTTATTAATGTTATCATAAATCCATCTGCTTTCTGGGAAGTGATGGTCACTTGCAGTATGTTTCGTGAATAATCAAAAGGCAGCCAGCCTCTTTTCTATTTTTTGTGAAAGACAAATGTTATTACATGTATCATTATCCCACCCATTTTAAAGACCTACACGTATTTCAAAATTCATTTAATTTGTGGGGGGAAACTTATCCTATTGAAATCTTTTTATCTTGACATGCTTTTAAAGTCGCTGGAAAATTATATGTTGATTTTCAATTAGGAATCTTTGTTGCGTTTTACATCAAAAAAGTCGCCTAGGTAAAAGCTTAAAAACATTGCGCATGCGGTTTTATATGAATAACAAACGAGCGACGATCTTGTAAAAAAATACCGCACGCACACTTGTTTTCACTCGCGGGATTCAATTTCAGTTTCTATTAGACAAGGTTCTGATTTGAATTTTAACCTTTCGACCCGCTGACTTTGATTTACTTCGCTAGTATCTATAAGGTTCCAAATATGTTTAACTCTCGCTGCTGCGTAATTGCGCTCCATTTCATGTTCCAAGTGCATTGTACGAACCATTCGTTTTAGATCCCTTTACTAAAACTAAAAGGATGCAGAAGCGGGGAGTTTGTAAGTAAATGGACATCAAGCTGAGAGGAACGGAAATTCCAATTCTTAAGTCTGATATTAAAAAAAGCGTTTTCTGATCGGGACATCCCACGTAACATTCAGATAACTAAATTAACTTACGCGACTTGACTGTGTACTGCATTGGATGTTTTTCTTGAATTTGCCCTCACTGATAATGTTCTCCCAGAAACATTTCAGAAGGTCTTTCGAAAGGCGGGGGATTTGATGTAAAAAAAATGGGATGTTTATTTGAACTCGTTTTAATTTAGAAGAAGGCATTACATAAACCCTAATTATAGCGATACAAGGTGGTAAAAATGTAATCACTGTGCGTAATGCCGAAGCAATGTGCGTTAACACTCGGGGATCAGCAATTCTACAAAAATATTTGTGAAAACGGAAGAAATATGCCAACATTCTGGTTCTTTTACAGTTCAGAATTATAAAGGCATGATCTAAGCCCAGGGTGATGTTTCCTTTAATCCATTACAGCACAGTTCAGTAACTATGTGTTTGTCATTGGAAGACAAGACCACCTAGGCCCGTAGCCAGAAATATCAAAGGGGGGGGGGGTCTTTTTCTGAAAAAGTGGACCTTTTACCATGAAACCTTCATGTACCTAGATAAAAATTTTACCCAGACGGGACCTTTTCCGAGCAAAAACGTGGGCTTCCTGCAGTTTACACATTTTACATAGCACCAGAGAAGAAAGGGCAGACACAGCTATACGTTACATGTTACCACGTCTTGCCCTATGAGGCTTAGTTTTTTCCCCCACAAGATTATATAATATTATGGACAGCAAAAGGTGAAAGGAAATTTTGTCGAGGATGTTTGTAACTAATGGATATTGATGTTGTTGTTGGCGAGTCCTGTTCTTGTTGCTGCTTATGTTTTCTCATCTACACGAAATTTCGAAAACTTGCCGCTCTGTGACCACTTTCTATCACACATTTTAGAGTGTCATGATCTGACCCTGTCATTTTTTTTTTTTTTGCTTCTGTTTTTAATATAATAATTATGTATTTCTTCGCACCAAACAATATAACACTGAAACAGATGGAGTATCTGTTGTAATATTGACCCAAACAGAGAGAGGCCAATAGTGGTCATAAAGCCAGGTTCACAAAGAAATAAAAAAAGTCATCATGACATGAGCCTATTTCCTACACACATGTATATCTCTGCTCTCAATCAGTGGTCAGAGATGTCTTAAAGCAAATGTAGATCCTGAAACCCGCTGTCCCCACACCAGGTAGCGCGCACTAAAGTCGTCACGTGTATTTGAGAAAAACAGCCAAAGGGAGACAAGATGCAATTAAAAAGGATTCGGTGAACTTTGTTATAAAGGTCTGGCCTGAGGAATCATGAACATGAATGAAACCAGATGGAATAATATTCCTTTACCCCAGAGTTACGGGAAGTTCAGTGCTTGGGGGGTTGATTCGACTGTGCTCACTTCATTCTATGTGTACGTGAATGCATATGGGGTCTCCGAGGCTTGTTTGCTGAAAAAAATTAGTTACATAACAAGACAGAGGGAATTATTGGAAATTAAAAAGTGTCATTTAATTTCCATTTGTTGTGCCTTTCTCATTGAACATGATTTTATTACCTATATCGCAAACAGAACGTCCTCTTATTGCTTGCATTGTCAATGATAACTCATTTCTCACACGAACCTGCAGAAATAAGCACATTTAACCCCCACTTAGACTTTCGCAGCAGTAGTAGTTCAAGATAAGCACACAATCAGACACATACCTGTTTGTTTCTGTGTCATGCGAATGCTGTCGTTGTATTAAGGGTTTGCGTTGGGCACGCAAATGTGGGGAGTTTACTGACAATGTACTAGTTAAAATGACTGAATCCCTGCAGATTCAGAATTATTTCACCCCCGCAGTAGCGTCCTTACGAAAATGAGAAATATGTTTAGAATTTTCACATGGCAATCCTTAAATCGTTCACCACTTAGTGTGACTTTGTACCAGAATGAAACGAACGCTATCTGGCATTAAACCTTCCTTCCATTTCTTGACTGCATTACCCCTTGCTCTGTTGCCAGAATCATTGCAACGATATCGCTCTAAAGCTAACAAAACAAACAAAATAAAAATAAATCTGATTTTTAACGTTTACTCGATATTTCCCATTATCTTGCAAAATTGACTCTTAGAACTAATGTTATTATTCTATTTTCTGTGCTTTTTCAATTATAGTAGTTTATATAGGAAACAATTATGCTCGTTTATATAGTAAACAAATCATTAAAAAATACAGGTAAGAGTCAGGTGATTCCATTGCTAAGAGCATGACCATCTTGCTTCCATTAATGATATTGTGTTCATTAAACAGTTTTCCTCAACTTTTCGACGTCACGTGGTTCCCCGAGAAACATTCCAGATTGGCGATAATTTATAGCCAATGGCTGAAATGTGGCATTTTCTCTTGACCCTCCTCACAGAAAACTAGTGCAGCGAAAGACTGCCATAACTTTTTGAACTGTTTTGCGTTCGCTTAGTTCAGTCGACCAATAGCTGACTCACTGTTATGTTGCCGTTTTCCGTATCCCGGGAATTCTTGGTATTTTTCGTACCACTTCTTTTGACCTGCTCGGTGTTTGCGGGGAACAGAGGCGTGGTACCACAGAGAAAAAAGGACGATACAGACAGTAGCCCCTGGGAGCTGGGAGGGACATATTATAAGCACGCACGAACCAAAATTACCACTACCCAAGATGCTGCGGTGAGTGATGAAACATTGAGCCTTAGGCAGGCATTAAAAAAATTCACTTTCGGGACAAAGTTGAATGGGCCACCTTCAGTACTGTAGACACCCATCCCTCCAGGGAATTTCGAATGTCAAATCATTGGTGTATTAAATCTGATTTCACATCTATTACACAATTTAAGAGCAGAGTTCCGTATTTGTTTTAACTCTGAACTATGTTAGCCAATTTAATGAATAACAGCATGTTATGGCAAAGATAAGAGTTTCTTTACAAACAATCTTTTATTTTTGATGTTGCTAATTCTAGTTACGAGTTTAAAAGGAATGGGCAGATGGTTGCGACGGAGTTTTCCCATAAAAATTATGAATGTGATGAATCTTTTATCACTTGCACACACACATGTATTGCGACTGAAGAAAAGTTATCTCTTTCTTGATTTTTTTTTTTTGCAAAATCAGTACCACATGGAACAAATTTCGAATAGAAAATTAAGACCTGATGCATACTTTTGCTCGTTTTGCGTATGAGTGCACGTTATTTTTTCTTTAATCATTTCTGGTACATTCATCTTCAAGTTTGTTTTAAAACGTAAGCTTCTTCTTTTTTCTGTCCATATCTCTTTACGGTCTGAATGACATCAAGCAATTTTTCTTTGAACTCCAGCCAGATTTATACAGGCATATAGAGCCTACAACGGAAGCTATGTTTTAGAATTTTTCGCTAAACGATAAAAGTAAAATGAAAATATTTTTCCAAGGCAGAACATATTCGCATGCCTTATCATAACCTCCAGCCTTACAGCTAGATTACATCCACCGTTCACGTAATTAGATAAGAACACTTGGAGAATGTCCCTAGTCTTGATATTTACCAGGGCGCCGAGGCTAGAAAAGAAAACAAACGTAATTGAACACCATTGCCAAGTGTCGTAATGACATTGTAAGGTGATGTAATACATATGAAGAGACCTGATGATACAAACTAAACCACGTTTGTTTGACCGTAGGCTGACGCAAATGAAAGACTAAGACCCTTCTTTCAAAGAAAATTTGAGTTTCAACAGTACGGATGGACATACACATGCGTTTTAAATTCGATCATTATTTTCATTATTTCTGTTTCTAAGGACCAAACTATCTGCACTCTCTTAAGTTCTTGTGGTATAACACGGAACATTTAAAATCTTGTTTTGCTGTCAACGTTGAAGATCCTCCAAAAGCCATTTTATGCGCTCACTTACACTAGAGTAAAAGTTGCTTAAGAATTGTCTAAAATTGACACAAATCCAAATCTATATAAATATCTTATTTTCAATATTCCACAGATTGTTTACCTAACAGATGACAAGGAGACAAAGGACATTTTTGTGAACAAAGCTTAATTTCCGTATTAACCTTTAAAATTCGCGTCATCATGAACGCACACACGTTTCTTAGAGACAGAATGTACTTAACAGACTTCTATAGCGATTTGATAGCATAGAATTCTGATCTTGATTTAAACTTCCAGTACTCCTGATGCACCGCATTCTAAAAAGCAATAAAACCAATAAAAAGAACGCCGTAGCTGGGTGGAGCTGCACTCTGTCCACACATGATGCACATATATTACCTAAGTATTTACGGGATAAGATAACATAAAAAGTGACCAGCACAAAAAATATGGTTTGGAACGAATCAGTTAACTTTACATGACGTAAAGCAAACCATGCTTGATTCACAAACGTCTGTGCGAATTATTAACCAAAATAACATTGACGTAAAAATGAACCACTTTACAAAGAATTGGCACAGTTTTCCTGATCAAGCCCATAGTAAAGAGTATGCAATTTNTCAAACCATACTTGATTCACAAACGTCTGTGCGAATTATTAACCAAAATAACATTGACGTAAAAATGAACTACTTTACATAGGATTGGCACAGTTTTCCTGATCAAGCCCATAGTGAAGAGTATGCAATTTGCTCATTTGCTGCAGCCTGCAATGTTACGCCTTCTGAATATAATAATAATGATGATAATTTATTAAAACATAGAATTATAAGGCACCAAGTTATGCAAAGGCATATTGTCTACTATTAATTGACATTTTCTCTTTTTAAAATCATTGTTTTACCTGATCGTATTATATTTTTGAGGTTTAAGTAAAGATCAAAGTCCAAATGTTTTAAGTGTCATCATTCTTTCAACGTTGCCTTTCAGGTGTATATTTCACATGATTCTTAATATTAAGGCAGTTGCCTTACACATGTGACAGAGATTACGTGCTAAATGAACGTATGTCTCTTATATGTAGCACTGGGAAAGTGTTACACCATATCCTAAATTAAAAACACAGTGAAAATAGTAAACGTTAATCAGATAGGGGTTTATAAACGTGAATACACCATTAGTATTTCATTAAACATTGATGTATACCGCACCTTGGTAAATCCACTTGAATGTCTCTCAGTTGCCAAGAACTTCCGCGAAACGATTACGTCGAATTATTTCTTAGGTTAGATCTCAACTTAAAACATATTAGCTAGTCAATCAGCAGCTTCAACTGAAATTTGGATATTTGATTCGCATCATTCACAGGGGCGAATCCAGGATTATTTGAAGGGGGTTCCGGAACGAACCCCACACCCCATTGGTGTGGGGTTCGGGGCCTGCTAAAGGGCCCCGAAAACTTTTGGTGTTTTGAGGAGCAAGCAGTGCCCTTTGGTAGGGTTAAAAATAATGATTTAGCTAGTCAAAATTCTAATTTCAAGAAGGGAATATTGGTGTGATATATTTTGCAGAAACCGAAGGGGGGTCAGGACCTGCCCCCCCCCCCGACCCCCCCTCTAAATCCGCCACTGATTCATATACCGAGTCCTGATTTATTTTTTCTTTTAAAACACTATTTATCTGAATGCTACCTTTCGCCTTTTTCTTGGAATTTTGCCAAGTGAACACTGCGAAGTGTCTGTATACTTACATGAGTCCAATATTTTGCTATATCCACACATTGCAAATAACGTAATCGGCGGGGCCCAGGACATCAAAGAAGCCAGAGTTGGAAGGACTCCAAAGCTGCTGCACTTTCCCTAGGTTCTGTGGTTATATTCGTGTTTGCCTCGCACGCTGTTAACACCGTACACTTGCCGTAGGTGGGGTGGGGTGGGTGGGCGGGGTAGGAGATGTTTACACGCCCCTATCCCCCCCCCCTCAATTACATAATACCATTGACTTTAAAAACAGAAAAAATATATTCATTTATTAAATGGAACATTATATATTGAATTGTTTTTGTTTGTCTTATAGAATTACCTCTGGGAGTACGGTTACATGACCGAAAGAGACATTCGGAGATTTGAAAGTCTCTCTAATAGCGAGGCGACGAGATTCGTCAACAGTAAATTGATGCGATTTCAGACCATGGGAAATATACGGGCGAAAGGTAAGCTAGAACAACAGAGTGATTGGTCTGATTGAAAATCTTTCATCGGAATTTAAATATACTGTACACTAAGCTTTATTATCACGAAATGCAGCATTCAAAATTTTACAAAAAGCTCAATTTTTTTAACCTTTGAAAGTTCTTTGATAATTTAGTTATCTACTCTTTTTAATGTGAATCATGACTACTTTGACTACCAAATGATTAAAAATGAAAATGTAAATTTTCGTAACGTCTTAAATGTGTGCTATAGAATTTGCACTTATTGGGATAGAACTCACCGTTGAAACTTTTCTCCTAAATCAGGCTCGCTTGACAGGAATACAATAGCACTGATGAACCAGCCAAGATGTGGAAATAAAGATACTGAAAGACCGATCCGTAACAATATTCCTTTAAAACTAAGTAAGAGAACCGCTAAACTTTAGTAGGCCCACATGTATGAAAGCAATTTGGAATGTTTGACAATTTATGATAAACAAACACAATTTGTCTTTTTAGATATTAGAGGGAGTGCGTGCTTTAAAGTATATGCTATTTAGAAAGTAGCATGATAAGGAAAGTTGAGATGATGATGCCAATTTTAATATAATTATTTTAAAAAAGCACTTTTCAATATTGGGAGTTAAATATATGCGAAATTTTGAAATTTTACATAATAACAAAAAGCAATAATGTTTGGAGGACGCCAATACATTTTCACAGAGTTTGTCAGTTTTTTATCCCCTTTTTTCTTATTTGACAAGTGCACCTTTTTTCCAGGTTGCATTCGCGAGAAAGCAGTCGTTACTTATGCGGTAATGTCTTACACGAGAGATCTACCACAGCACACTGTACAGACAGAAATTGCAAGGGCGTTCGAGGTAGAGCACTACTTTTTACATATTGTTGCCTTACCCAACTTTTGATTAAAAAAATGTTAACTCTGCTCTCAAGCTGCTCCTGTATGCAATTACATTTAAATATACCTGTAGATTAAATATATTATATTATATATATAAGAAATACTTCCACTTGTTACTGTAGATTATGTATATAAGGTAATTATGAAACATATAATTACATTTGTGTTTGAAAGCCTGATATCACATAAGTGGGATAATAGGTCTAGATATATATTACATGTATGTATAACACAATTAGTTTAGAGGGCCTGCAAAATGTACTGAAACATTTTAGTGCTCAATAAATTATTATTATTATTATATTAGGCATTGCGAGAAGTACATGCACATCTAACACATTTTAAAACCACTAGATTCTAAAAATCGGACAGAAATTGCAAAGGTGTATCATTTTGCTATTGGCAGACCAACACTGTTCATTTCTGTTCAACACAATGTTTATTAAGGATATACGTAAAAATCATGTTTTACATTTGAATTAGCTACCACTTCCCCTCTTCTCTTGTCTTGAGGCAAGAAACAGCGTGTTTCATTGCATCAACTCGAGCGGCTTTCTACAAGTATAATGTCATGTAGTTAATACGTTTACGATTACCCTTCTTAAATTAGCTTTGCTTTTATATAAGAGAATCAGACTACGGAGGCCCGCCGCACCGTTACTCAATCTGCGTGCGCTATTTGATTATAAGCAGGTTAACCGGGTGGTTGGCATTACAAATTGATCAAATGCGAAACACGAAATGTTGGCGAGGTATTGACAATTTTAGATATGGCAAAATAGAAAACGTATATGACAACTCTGCAGTTTTTTTTCAAATAAAACAACCACTTGCAGTGGCGGACCAGGATGTCAAGTAGAATCCAACGCCTCTCCTTCCAACAGTGTTCTCTTTTTCAATAGACAATAGGCCCTACACTTGACGTCAATTACCAGTACTGAACAAGGAACATTCTCTTGTGTGCCTTGTCTCCTTTTTTGAGAAGGATCGGGGTTCAATTCGCCATTTACGCCAGTTATGAAAGGGGGTTGCCCTGAAGCCTATTATAACTATACCTAATTGAAAGGTTTAACACTTTGTCAGTTCGCTTTGTATTCCTATATGTATCAATTGGCGTTAAAACCACTTCACACAGTGAAACTAAAATTACGATCATAGCTTTGTAACTGAAGGTTTGATAAGTTCCATTATCTTATGATTATAATGATGATAATGATAAGTTTTTAAACTTAAAATTAGGACGAATTAATCAAAAATAGAACGAAACGATCAGATAGATTTACAGGCTCACTATATGAATTGTTTCTAATCATTTAGATAACTGTTTTTATCTTTTAGGAATGGTCAGACGTTATATCAATTACCTTTGAAGAGACAAATGGCACTAGTGATATTGAGATTAATTTTGTCGACGGGTTTCATACGTATTCACCCATGTTTGACGGTGCTGGTGGCACGGTGGCGAAGGCAATGTTCGACTTAACTGGCCAAGGCGGAGAGTGTGGAACTATATACATCGATGAAGGAGAATTGTGGACAAAACAATCGCCCAGAGGTAATAGTCCGGTTTGTGATTACAGAACAGTTCACAGAAAGGTTACTGAAAATATTACACAAACTGCCAGGTGTTTTCAATGACACTTTCATAATAATCTTTTTGTAAGGATGCCTTTCGCAAGAAAAGTTCAGTTGAATTTTTTTTCCACGCATATAATTATAAATCACACGAAATCGGGAAATCCGAATTGTTCAAAGAGCCAAGGTAGAGTGTAGCAGTCTATGTGAAGTATTAATCTAAATAAGTGTTCTAGGCTTGGACCTGTATACAGTGATGGTGCATGAAATTGGACATTTGATTGGTCTCACTCACTCTGCTGACCCCGACAGCATCATGTGGCCATGGTTCGACACAAAGACTACGCTAGAAGACTTGAAGGCAAGACGGAGGCAAAAGTTGGACGTCGTAATCGGTACATTGCGTTTTTAATGGCCTAGTCATTTTATAACAGATAGATTTGTCACAATATTATCAATAAAATCGTTAATTTTAGAAGTATTGTCTTCGTTAAATCTATTTAAATAGGTATGACATTCGTAATGCATTTTTATGAGCCAAAAAGAAACGCTTGCTCAGTTTTTAGATTCAGATAGAAGGCATCCCGCTGCGTCTGTTAAGCAAATGGCCGCCCGTCAGCACACAGCATCAGCACAACGAGATGAGGTTGCCGTCCAGCCCGAAAATGATGTTCAAAACACTGAGTCTCATAAATGGACAGAAAATAATAGTGTCCTTCAAACAAACATCCTGAATGTTGGGCGTGGACCAGAACTTTTGAATGGAGTCACCGTCTGCCCGTCTGCCATTGATGCCATAACCGTTGCTGCCAATGGAAAAACGTATGCATTCAAAGGTAGTCTATAAAGCCAGATCATTAGTGCGTATTGAAACATCTTGTGCCGGCTTATGTTGTTCTTTATGTTTAAATGAAAACACAGAGGTTTTTTTGTTTAAAGTCTAATGGATTGGAGAAAGAAAAAAAATGAAGTTTGTGAATTGTGAATAAAATTGTACTTTGTTCAGTCTGTACATAATGCATTTGTTGTAAACTTACAATTTGTTGGGACTCTTTCAGATGGAAATGTCTATATGCTAAATAAATCTACGTTTGGAATTGAAGACGGTTTCCCACGTCCAATCGCAAGTGTATTTGGCGACAATGCTCCTGGTCGTGTAGACGCGGCAGTGACTTTGTACTATTACGGAGTTCCATTCACATACTTATTTCAGGTAGGATGACGCAAGTAGTTTTTTGCTAAATATGAAACTACGCGTAACTAATAGCTCGTTCATAGTTACTTGATGATATTAGAATTCGGCAAGCTCATCCAGGCGAGGTTTAAGCACTGGAACTATAAAATAATATAGTACTGCCACTTCCAAGAACCTTTATCTGTTTCACGAACCTTCATCTATGTCTCCCACAAATAGAATATGCTTTCCTATTTTGGACCTCGAGCGATTTTGTTTTTGTGTTATTTTGCAAAAAAAAAAATAGTTTTCGTCATATCGCAAATTATATCAGAGCATAAACTGAAATAATTTATCTTATACCTTAGGATCGCCAATACTGGCGGTACAGAGAAGGCTTTCATGGTGAAATATATGCTGACAAGGGATACCCCCGTTCTATAGTACAAGGCTGGGCATTGCATATACCCCATTTAGACGCTGTGGTGGAATGGGAACGAAAGTCATTTCTTCTTTTCTTTCAAGGTAGCAAAACATTTTTGTCGGTTCATTTTTCTCTGTGTTCTGAGTTTCACTTATACTATCAGTAATCACTTTCATCGCAATCTCTTATATAGATACTCACAACTATTTTGTTAAACCCCAAATCTTGCCAGAGAGTTTTCGGCTGTGGTGGAATGGGAATAGAATTAATTTTTTTTCTTTCAAGGTAGAAGAAAATGATTTTTTGATAGTTAATTTATCTTAGTTTGTTATATACACCATTGATCAAAAAGGTTACCCCACTTCTTAGTCCAAGGTTGTTTCTTTGCAAACGATCACCTCACGCAAGCTCACAATTCTCGTCTGGTAAGTGATTAATTGCAGAAACGTATTGTTCTCGAACAACCTTCTTTGAGCCTTGATACTAACCTTAAATTTGCACCTGCTTCATGGATTGGAGTTAGCAATGCAGAGGAGATTCAAACGCCTAATAATCCAAACCAATCTCTCCAAGCTTTCCTGGATGAATTGGACAATTGTCCACAGAGCAGAATTCTTACCCTTGCTGAAGGCATGCCGCGCCGTCTACAGGTGATACTTTGCAGTACGCGCGGTAGACTCATGCTATTACACACGTGGCTTTAAAGGAGCACTTGCTGATGCTAATTGTTTGTAAATTTGATGACATTTGTTGGTGTCCTCTAAATTCATTGAAAATTTTCACCTCTGTTAAAATCACTGTAGAACATCATCCAAATGAGCGAGTGCATGTACATGCTCTAAATTTTAAGGAATGGTGTAAAATAAGGATAAATTCGCCGGTATTAGGCATTTCCTGTGCCATTTTTCATGTTAGATATAGTATCTAGAATAACAAAAACTGATCAAATTGTTTAAAGATATGAAGTGATCATTTGTAAACAAAAACACGTGGAATTGGAGGTGGGAAAACCTTTTGGACCAAGAGTGTTGATCATTAAGTTCATTTTAGTGGATATTCAAACCCGAAATCTTTCTAGAAAACATTTAGCACTTAGTCGTGTACTGTGAACCTTTTGTTCATTAAGCTTTTGGGTTTTAAGAGTTTCGCTTTATAGATCCATATAAACACGTTGAACTTTCATGTTCTTATGCTAAGATTTATTTGAACTTTTATTTTACTTGTTAGGCCTACAGTGTTGGATTTCCCTTTAATCAAATATATGTCACACTGCCTTTTAGTTATGATATGCTGATAAGCCTACATGTAATTTATTTAAACAAGGGAGCTTTATCAAACCATTTATGTTATTTTCCCACCTCCGTAGGTGACAACATTTATGGCCATGACGGCAAGGATCCCATCGAAAAAGGAAAGCCAAGACACATGAACGATTTTCCTCAGTTTCGTGCACTTCCAAAACAAAGACTTCGAGCTGCCATGAGGTCGGACAACCACAGGACATATTTCTTCTATGAAGATAAATATTACGTTTGGTCAAGGGCCGTATACGGACAAGCTAGAATGGCGGGCCCTTTCAGTATTGAATATGACTTTTTTAACTGCCAAGTCCCTCTTATCGGATCTGGAGCAATTAATTGATATTTCTGTGATTTTTGTAGTTTGTATAAAAAGGCAGCATTTTTAACTGCCGTTTTACGGTAGCAGCAAGCAAATATTATATTCTTCAAAATTCATTGCCGTTTTAATATACTGATACGTTTTACATTAATTGGTTATTGTCACATAGTTAATAAAAATGTTGATAATAATCCATAAAGATGCCTTCAATCTTCAATCCATTTATTACGTCAGTCTGATCACAACGACGGTGTCGTGAGCTACACTGGGTTTTTTGGCATCTGATTTTTGTATTTAGCGCTACGGGGATGTGACGTTAACTATAAAGCCATACATTTTGTGATATACCTAATCCCGTACAGTGCTATTGAGTGAAAATTCATCGAAAAGGTAGCAGTAAGTGTAGCAGCTAAATTTTAGTATCGGTCAGTGCATTTTTCTCATTTACGCTTTTTCGGGTAAGGAAGGTGAAGTGGAAATGTTAAATCCACATTTTTGCCGACTTAACAGTAGGGCCTACATTGTAGGCCTAGAGCGTAAAAAAAAAAAAAAAAAAAAAAAAAAAAAAACAGGAGTTCAATTGTAATTTTCCCCCTCATCAAACAAATACCTAATGCATTTTTCCTTTCGCAGCAAACAAAATGGGTGCGAAAAAATAGGTTCAGTCGCGCTTGTTAACCATTTTATAAATTTGGTTAAATTAGTGTTTGAGATAACCGCAAACCATAGAACTCTACTTCTATGCGCAAACGAACAAATGAATACATTTATCATGATAAGTAGGCCTATGTTGTATATGTAGGCCCTATATATATGACAGAGATTAAGCTTAATGGGCTAGTATATTTACGGTATTAAAAGTCAAACTGCCATCCAAGTACGTAGGCTACATGTACATGTAGAACGCTTGTAGTGTGAATTCAACAGCCGAAACTAAAGTATTGGCTTTCAGCGGACTCTGCATGTACTGTTGTCAAAACAACAATGGCGGACGAAGTGTAAAGGTAAATCACCATAAAAGAATAATTTCAAATTTAAAATGCATTCTTTCTGCTGCTGTTAAAACACACTGACACACACACACACACACTCACTCACACACACACACACACACAGAGAGAGAGAGAGAGAGAGAGAGAATTAATTTTTTCTGGTACTTTATAAACTGGCAGAGAGAGAGAGAGAGAGAGAGAGAGATAGACTCTATCGGTTGTTATTCCAAGGACTAGTATAAACTGATAGACATGAATTTATATTGCCAGGACTCAACTTTAAAATAAGGTGTGTGTATGTCATCTGTGTTTGTATCCAGCTACATGGTAAATGTAACCGATTTTTGGTCTTAATATACGCAGTGTACTCCTCAAATGAGTTCTAATTTATACTGGTTGTGGCATGAGAAAGATTTGCATACTGAGAAATGTATATGGTATCAGTACCAATTTATTTTAATCTGTCTTGGTGAATGCAACACATATAGTGTACCCAATGCATGCTGAAAACTAAAGCTGTTCTTCTGTTTCAGAAATTAAATAGTTTGAGCTTTTTAAACTCACCACCATGGGCAAAAAAGGGAAAAAGGGAAAGAAAAGTGGAGGAGGAGGCAAGAAAAAGAAAGAAAAGGAACCTCAGGTTACATACAAAGAGGCTATCCTTGCTTACCAGTGAGTAGATGAATGCATTGATTTGTATATCATTATGTTATATCTTGTACATCGAGTAGGCACTTTCTGATAGGCATAAAATATCTGGTATTTAACACCATCACATACTTAATGTAATAGCCTGTGCAGTGCATTTGTCAATTTCCATGTCTTAGATTTAAAATGTCCTTGTTCTTCATGTGGTAATGTTCTTTTCAGAATAAGTATAAAAGAAAAACAAATGGAGGACTACATGTATGAGCTGAGGGGGCTTGAAGAGAAGAAATCAAGACATGAGGATAGGGTGTGTAAATTTGAAAATTAAATCAAAAGTAATATGTGTTTTACTGATACTACAAACAACATTTGAAGTCACAGTTTTATATGTTGTCAGGGGTTTGAGAAAATTGTGAAATCCTGCTTAAGAATCTTTGTCATAATTTGTCATTTCAGAATGACAGACTTAAAGGTGAACAGGCACTTTGTATTAAGAACCTGCTGAGAGAAGCTAAAGAATTTGAGAAACAAGTAGAAAACCAAGAATACACCAACAAGGAGCAAGTTGTTGCTGTAATGATGGAAAAATGGCAGACACAAAAGGAAGAGGAGAAAAAATTAGAAGGTATGAAAATATGTAAAACGACATAGCTGTAACAGGAGGATAAAGAAAGTCACTTTATTTCAAATTGTAATTTTAGCATAAATCACCCTCAATAAATCAAGTTTTTCTTAGCACTTGGTTCTGGCATATAAAATTGAATGGTTTTTTAAATATCCAAGTGATATTCAGTATGTAATATCCATAGTAATTATAATAATAAGGATAATAATAAAATAAATTTAAAAAGTTCCTTCTTTCTTTGAATCTTGTACTGTATCAAACAGAGAACAAATATACATGTATTTCATTTCAATTTTTATACAGATATCAGAGAGGAAATTAAACGTAAAGATAGTGAGATTGTTGAAGTACAGAAGGATGTTGCCTATTGGCTAAGTTACAAAGACAAAGGTCACAAGACAGATGAAACAAAAATTATTCTCCTTGAACAAGAATTAAAAGACATGGAGGTCACAATTACAGAGATGTCTGGTAAGTTTTTTTAAATACTGTTCTTTGCAAAAAAAAAGTTGCATCAGGAATATCACATATTGATGAGACTTGAGAAAACAATAAATTAGACTTTTTTGTATTTCATTTTTAAAATTTGTGAAAATCATTCATTTGATTCAGGAACTTTCAGAATGATTTGCTGTTTCGAGGGCTCTTTTAATTACAGACAATTTTATTTTTACATGCTTACAGGTACTTTTTCTATTTTTGTACAAAGGTAAATGAATACATTATTTATTGACACCGGCATAAATATAAACACCACCCAAATAAAGGATGATGCAAATTCTTTAATTTTCTTACCTTTTCAGCTCACTTAGAAAGAACCCTTATTACTGCCAAAAATGAGATTCAACAGTATACAGAAGAAACTCTTGCCCATACCAAGTCAAATGCATCAGAAGTAATTGGAAATATTTTTTAAAGTATCTTTTAAACAAAGTTATTAAGTATAGCTATGTTATTTGGTGGTATCTGTTGTGAAGTTCTAATAAGACAAAAGTTTGGCTTAATATGAAACTTGACAAGTTTTGTTTTTGTTGTTAATTTGTCATCCATGATTTGAAATTCATAACAATATATTTTTTCATTCAAAAACAATTTACAAAATTTTCTTTTTTTCTAAGTTAATGCAATTCAAACTTTTATGTTTAAAGTTTTCACCTCATTTATTTTGTTTGCTGCAGCAAGCTATTGCTAAGATGGATAAGAATAGTAGGCAGGAGGTGCTGGACAACAACTGGCTCAAGAGAGAGGTGAGAAAATATGAGATTTATTTGTTGCTGATATACATTTATATGTTCAAGAGGCAAATGCACAACTATTGTTAATTATTTGATATCCATGAAGAATATAGTTTTAAAAGTTTGATTGTTAAACTTTTAAGAAACATGATTTGAGTCTTCCAGTATTTTCAAAGTAATGCAGCTGAAATATTCCAGGTGGACATTCATGATGAAGAGGCAGGAGTGTTGAGAGAAGCTGTAGAAAAACTAGAAAAAGAAAACCTTGAAATAATGAGTGAGCTGTTTGAGTGTAGAACTGATGACCTTAAGATTTCTAGGTAATCTAGAACTAGCTATCATTTGTAATTTTGTATTTTTTCTGGAACTTACATTTTTTTTATTCTATTTTTATTCTATTTTTTTCTAAATAATAAAGTAACTGATGTATATATTTTGTAGGACATGTTAAGTATCATGTAAAACTTGCACATGTACTAAACCTTAATTAACTTACACCTTTTTTTATTACAAATTCATGCTGCTGAAAATGTACAATAAATGTACAGTGTATTTCAATTCCAGGCAGTTTTACCTTACCCAGTTTCAAGACAATGAGAATTTAGATGATGGAATCTTGGAGATGGATCTCAATGTACTTGCCATTGAGGACAGTGGTGAGTTGATGGGCAGCATAGCTATTGATTGTTTTAGATATTTAGGAAAGATATCACCTTGGAATGTCTGCGTATATAATTTTAGAGTTTCCAGTAAATTAACAACTTGAAAAACTGTGTAAATTTTACTATATGTCTATCCTATGTGTACATCATATACTAATAAAGCAAAGATAAGATAAAGCAATGAGGTTATATTGATAATTATATCTTTGTTTTTGATTATGAAAATATGGGAATTTATTTTCCTTCATAACTATATTTTCAATCTAAAGCTGCAAGGCCAAAAAGTGCTGTGTATAAATCTGTGCAAGATAAGGTGCTGTCCATCATGTCTCGGGAAGAGTTGGCTGAGGAAGACTCAGATGAAGGTTTGTTCACCTGACTTTTATCATATTAGAACAGCAGTGCATGTTTGGGCATGTTTAAGGGAGGACATACCATTCCTTTGAAGACTCTAATATTGAAAACTACTGGAATATTTGCATGTTAATTGATGTTACCTTCAAATTCATTTCCAGATTTAGAAAGTTATGATGGAGAGGGAGATGGATCAGAGGGGGATCCATTTGAAACTCCTTTTGATTATGATGATGCAAGATTTGATGGAGATGATGTAAGTATAAAAAAAAAGGAAATTGAACCTGTTGTAAATATGCATAAATAGCAAGTGTAATAAGGGATTACCTTATAATGGGACATTCATTTTTTAAGTTCATGATTTCCTTGTCCTGCACAGGTACTTTTAATTTATGATAAATTTATCCATGAATAACATGTTTTACCACAAATTGAGTTATAGGAATATCTTACACCATCAGTACACACTGTGAAAAACAGTTGATTGGAAAATTTTGAAAAGTTCTGTATCTTTTTTTCCAGGAATTTCTTCAACTTGGTCCACTGGAGTTGAAGATGTTGACACTGAAAGGGGATAAGATGCCAATACATGGGCGTGGAAATTTGTCAACAGAGGAGCTTGAGGCTAAAAACTTCAACCCTGACATTTGGCCCATGACCACTCCTATGTTGAAGGAGGTTATCAAAGATAAAGAGCTTGCAAAAGTGGAAGTATGACTGCCAAATTTATTGACCAACCTGCATATTTGTCTGTCATATCGGTCATTTCAGATTCAGCATTATGACCCTTTTTTTTAAATTTAAAGTAAACTTTGGAAAAAGACTCTATCCCTATATATTCCAAATGAAGAAATTGTACCAACTGCAAAATGCACCATCACTGTGATACATGTATTCTTTTAATTAGAGAAATTTGTGGTATAAAAGCTGTTCATGCATTCTGTGACTCTGTTCAGGTTTTGCAGCACTTTCCATGCTGCAGCTAAAAAAGCTTCCTATAAGTAGAAAGAAGAGACAGTTTACAAGAGTTGCAGAAGGATCACAGAAATATTAAAGATTTTTGTATGACATTAAAAGGAATTACTGTAGATGTAAACTGACACTCAGAATATGCCAAAAATATCATAACCACCCATGTGATAACATTATGCACTTTTTGCATCTAAAAATGGCATGCGTCACATCAGTATTTTTATCCATGTAAGCATTAAACAATTGGAACCAAATTCATTTTTTTAAAATAAATCAGAGTTTAACACTTTTATTGCTGCTATATTTACAAACAAGTTATACATACATGCATATGTATCACATTAATTCCCTGATGCAATCAAGTAAGTTTAACTCTGACAAGTTATTTCCAATGACAATCTTCTTGAATAAGATTAAGTCATTACTTACAAGACTTTAAGCAAGAAATGGTGCTACAGATATAAGACTCTGTAAACACCATTTCAATGAAATGCTGACTTCATATATATAACCCCTTCTCTTCATGCAAAACTTACTGGTACATACATGTATACAAGCAATCAAAATATGGTGACTTCATATTCCGTTGGAGAGAGAACTGAAAACAGATATCTGCTTTAGGCAGGAGCTACAGCATGCACTAAGAAAATATCAATAAAGCAAACCCAAAAGTGTTTTTAAAAATGCTCACAATAAATGCCATTTTCAAGCAAACTAGATTTAAAAAGAATAGCTATATGACTACAGACCATGTTCGCAGGTGTGTTCACGTTAACTTAAATCAATGTGAACAAAAGCATCAATGGATTACGTAGGATTACGTAACCATGTTTTTCTTGGCAAATCGATCATCCTGGCTTTTTTACCTACATCAGTGACCTCTGTGTATTTCAGGTCAAATTATGCCAATTGCAAGCATGACAATAAAGTCACCCACTACATCACAGCTAACATGCACAGCACCAATGGCCTGCAATGTATATATCAGGTGTAGCACATATATCCATTACCTGCCCTGATAATTGATTCTTCACTGCATGTGCTCACACTTCCACTGCCGATCTGTATTACACAGCATGACATTAAAATGCACTACCTGTTGCAAATCAAATAAATGCTAGCTACTAGGAACATTCTTCCCGAACTATTTTTCTTCAATTCAAGGTGAGTAACAGTTACAAACACTTACTGTCAGACTCATTTGAAAAGAAAAATATTTGAATAAACAATGAAAACCTTGAATTGAACTTTGTTAAAAAAACAAAGGTGGCATGAGCAGCTCAAATGCAAATTATAAAGACAATGCTACGTAAAAGTTATATTCAGCTGTATCTTATATTATTACTTAATATAGTACTATGTTAATATATATCGATAGTAGACTAGGACGTCTGTTAGCATATGCAGTACAAATGCAGCTACTACCATGTCAAATTCCATAGGTGAAAGTTGAAAAAACTGAAAATCCTTAATAAGTAGCTTGCTCTAATCGCATTTAAACCATATCAGAAAAAAAAAAAAAATGAAGACTAAAAATCCTGAAATCAGGGACATTCCTAAAAACTTTCACCATGGTCAAATCTCAACAACTGTGTACCAAGTTTCAACAGAATGTTGGCCTAAAAAATAAACAGATACATTAAAAAATAAATTGCTTCAGCTAATTAACAGCACCTTAAAGAATAGCCTTAATAATTTAACAGAGATGGGAATAATAACCCAAAACTGATTTTACCCTAAAAAATAATGCTATAAAAATGCATGACAGGGATAGGGGTTTCATTAAAATGTTTTGCTAGCAAACTGCGCCTCTTTTCTTTCACAAATATCTTTCTTTGCAATGGGCATATTCATATTTTACAATTATTCTTGGATGAAAACATACGTTCAACGTTCCACTATAATATACTTTTTTTCATGGATGTAAGTCTTACCATTAGAGCTTTTACTTGATCTTCATACTTTTATTTATGATAAAAATCCTAAAAATCGTCTGTCTAACTTTTACAAATATTATGACACAAAAACTTAAAACCACAACTTTGTATCATCACAAGTGAACAAATCTGAAAGTGGACCCTCTTCTTAATTATAGAAATCTGAAGTTTTAACATATATATATTTGCACACATAAATATGACAAATAAAACTTAACACACCACTGAAGTTAAACATGCATGTTTGTTAATATCATTACATAATTACACATAAAACAGTAGCCTATATAAAACTAAGGAACTGTTATACACCAGTGTCTTCTTTATTGCTGCTTGTTTCCTTTTCTTCCTTGACCTTTTCCTTTTCTGGGTGTAATTTTAACAGATATTCTTCTCTTTCTTCATCTGTCATGATATAACTATAATAAAATCAAAACCACTTTTTTCACAAATTTCAATTGAATTTAAAAAAAAACAATAGCCATATTATAAATACTCGAACTTTTCAATGGGTGAAAATTTTACAGATACTATATTTTTAAGTCATAATTTCTTAAAAATTAGAACATGCCTATTGAGAAGTAGCAACAAAATCGTAAAACCGGTTTCGTTATACTTCTATGCTATGCATAAAAAGCACCACAATTGCCATAGAGAAATAAAATTTTTGTGATTATAAAATGATGTGTCTGAAAGTTTGATAATTTTGCCCATTGAAAAGATTGTGTAATTACCTTCATGTGATTATATTTAGGAATGAAGGGAATAACAATTAAATAGAGCAAATCATTACAATCAAGTGTGGTTAAATAATCTAGTGCATTATGGCTCCACCTTTTAGGGAAGATCATTTGAGTGTAGAAATACAAAGCATGTTGTGGGATAGTTAACTTACTGATAGTTTATAAATCTGCCTCCCTGAGTCAACTGAGCACAATCATTTGTAAAGTGGCAGGCAAATAACAACAAATTCCTTGGTTGAACCTTCCAAGCAAATCTCATGAAGAGTGCAGAATAGATGAATAAAGCTGGAAAATTAAAACGGTACAGTTCTTCCCTTTTGTTTTAAAAAATAAAATAAAAATGCAAATTATCCCAATTTTTCATTTCCAGTATGATATACATGCTATATTTTTATATAATGAAATAAAAACTCTTAATCCTTTGTAGAAAGTTCATATTTCAACAAATCAGAATCACAATTTTGTTCCACTTATAGGACACATTCTAAATCCTTTTATTAAAATTATTGTTCAATCCCAATAGCATCCAGCTGGAGCAAATGCATGATAAAAAAATTAAACAAATAAATAAAATAAAATAAAAAATTCAAACCTGTTGTCATTTTCCCACTTATAATTTCTGGTGTCCTACCAACATCTGCTATTGCTGCCAATGGAATCCCCCAGTTGGCAACTGGACCCCAAAAATGCTGAAAAGGGGGAGGGGGGGTTAATAGTCATACCCACTTTTTCATAATCATAACAAACAAGACTAATGGTATGTAAGATTTGCACATCATCATCATCATCATTGCTCTTCGTCCCGTGTGGGACATAAGGCCACAAGATTTGCACAGCTTGTGTTAAATGAAATAAATAATTTGCAATTGAATATACATTACACAGGTATTGAAAGTTATAGTATTCAGTTTATAATCTAATATATAATCAATGTTGTTCAGACTTTCAATGCAAATAGCAGTTTCATTTTAAAGAGGTACGTATTATTAATAATCAGAAAGAAAACATGACTTATGATTATGAACATTTCCAGACATTCCGCTCACTTTCTATTAAGTGATAAAGAAAACAGATTTTGATGCGACAGTACTTACAGTGCTGCACACAGGACATGGAAAAAAGAAAACAATGCAAAATATTTACCTTACATGCATCATTATCACTGGTTACCACATCATGCATATACATGATTTAACAACAAGTGTAACTGTTACTGTGGCATTGATGAAGATGTTTTTTAACTTAAAAAAAACTTTCTAAATATTTAAAAAAAATTAAGGGGACAGCGGCCAGGTGACAATACTGAAGTACATTACGTAACGATGTTGACCTAGTTCTGAAGACTTAAGTGATTAAATTCAAGTCATGCAATTAACAACTAAAAAAGGAGGAAAGTGTAAAATTAGATGTCCTGGAAACGGGACATACAACAGTTTTAGGCCTCAGACCGAATGATTACTAAGTGAAGTGTCTCGTAACTTTAATTTACTCTTGATAAGCACATAAAAAATACGTGTCATACTTCCATTCCACAAACACAGATGTAGCAGTAGAAAAAACTGCAATTAGTTAGAATTGCAACATGTTTAAAACAAGTAAACAGTTAGTATACCTGCAGAAATACTTGATCCATTCTGATCCAGCTCTCCCTGCCTTGCTCGCCATTTTAGTCTCGTTTGATGTCACGTGACAACAGCTAAAAAGTCTGCGAGGATTCTGGAGAAATTGCGTTGTTTCGGTTAAGCATGGCGAACATAATGAACTCGAATGTAATGCCTCCTCTCACGGCCCAAGAAAGGGCCCAGAGGTCTGTGTTTGGTAAGTAAACTTTTTTCTTACATTGTGTTATTAGGGGCTTTGTTTTATGCCATTTTCATGATTGCACAGAATATGTTTGTTCTTCATTGGAGACACCGGCGAGTGTTAGTGTTGAACACACCGGTGTTGCAGTATTTAGGTGTCAGAGTCGCACACACAGTCAGCAGCGACACTATAGTCACAGTATTGATAGTCTTGCTTTTAAACCCTATTTGACGCTGGTCCTGTCTTAACTAGTGATATTATTGATTATCTCGTTAGGAAAATAGCCTGCCTCCCAATCAAATTGTTTTAATTCCACTTCTACAAACTAGGTCTTGAGTAGGTATATCAGAAAAATTTTCAAACTGATCAGAAAATTAAAATACTTATATCATCTGAAAGGTAATGCAAAAACCGGATGAAATCATTTGGAATTTTTTAAATATTCCTACAAGCAACAAAGATATTGAAGTTTTTTAACTGCAAAAATCCACCAAAAGTGTCCACAATTCTCAGCTCAAAACCTGTGCCCACTGACCAGCAGTGATCACTCAGGCGCAGCAGAGCACCCTGGGTACTTTTGTAGTATACCCCCCCACCCTGTAACTTTCTGTAACTTTCACTTTTCAAACAGTTTTTTACATTTTCTTGTTCATGTATGTCAAAGCTGTTGAAATAAAATGCTTTTGTAATTACCTGTGGACTTTTTATTTGTTTTAATCACGTTTAATCCAGCCCATTGAAATACAAAGTTAGAATCTTCAATTTACACCCGCAGTCAATAACTTGCCGCGTTTTCGTTGGCTAACTCGAAGGTAATTTTATGTGAACAAGTAGCTCATAATAATTTCACAGAGAAAGTCTAAGTATACAATGTATCAATCCTATGTTCACATAAAATAAGGTAGAGTTAGCCAACGAAAACGCGGCAAGTTATTGACTTCGGGTACATTGTAAATTTTCACATTGTATTTCAATGGGGTGGATTAAACGTGATTAAAACTAATAAAAAGACCACAGGTAATTACAAAAACATTTTATTTCAACAGTTTTGACATAGGTGAAAAAGACAATGTAAAAAAATGTTTGAAAAATGAAAGTTTCAGGAAGTTACAGGGTGGGGGGGTATACTACAAAAGTACCGCA